CATCAAATTTGATCTTTCCAAAGAAATATTGAACCCAATTGAATTCTTAAATCTAGACGATTGTTTATTCATAGACTATGATGAGTTCAAGACAAGCCGCTATGGTGAAATTGGTAGACACGCTGCTCTTAGGAAGCAGTGCTATAGCATCTCGGTTCGAGTCCGAGTGGCGGCATGTCATCTCCTAAAAAAAGTAAATAGATCCTATAATGAAAATAATGAAAATGAATTGATGAATTCAATTCCAAATTTCAATTTTATAATTAAGGGAGTCCTTGTTTTTATGATATTTTCAACCTTGATGAATTCAATTCCAAATTTCAATTTTATAATTAAGGGAGTCCTTGTTTTTATGATATTTTCAACCTTAGAGCATATATTAATTCATATTTCTTTTTCAATCGTTTCTATTCTAATGACAATTCATTTGATAACCTTTTTTGCTGATGAAATTGTAAAACTATATGATTCATCCGAAAAGGGCATGATAATTTCTTTTTTCTGTATAACAGGATTATTAATTACTCGTTGGATTTATTCGGGGGGGGGGGGGGGCTGGTACCTAATGTGATATTGACGGATCGTGAATTGGGACTCATTAAAGCAATGCCCCAAATATTTCCAGATTCCGCACTTTTCTTGTGTTTTTTCACATCAATAGAAACGTGGAAAAAAATGCATCGAGATTTATTGGTAGTACTAAACACGGGCTTATATTCCGGCGCATACATTGGGCAACATTAGTGGAATCAAAAACAGAAGAAGATTACTATGAAAATTACGAGGAAATGGTTAGACGCTATGGTTGTTACCCCAAATTGATATCGTACCTTAACGATACTTGGCTAATATACAAGCACAAATTCGTCAAAGCATGGACTAATAAGATTTTAAATTTTGGGAACACGTTGACTAATAGGTATTTTCGGTTTCATTATCGTCTTGTATGTTATATTATATTGTGGGCATTTTTAATTATTAGTTGTTATTTTAATGGCTATTAACAGGGTGGAAAGTGCTCACAATTCGTCGAAGGGTTAGATTAATGCTTCTACCGGCACTGTGAACACCATTCAATATCAGCTCGACTCCGGGGTCGAGTATCAACTTACCAAGATCAAGGGTGAGTTTTCAAAATGGAGTTTAATCCGGTTGCATAAATCATCTTATCTGGTATTTCAGGGTTTGATATGCAAAGTCACACATAAAGCATTAAATTTGCTTGATGATGAGCTCGATAAACCGGAATTACAAGACCTATCTCTTTGTGATCACGTTCTGTGGGTTACTCATGGACTTCCATGTGCATGCCAAATTGTGTTGAAAATCCAACAAAGTGATACATTTATATCTATGGATCTACATCCATTTTGGAGTACCATGCACGTAGAAGAACCAGAAATACCCGAGGCACAAGTGGATTGTGAATCAAATATGAGAGACCGGATAATCAGACTAGCCACCGAAGTGTTAGAAAAAGATTACATGACTCAAAAGATGACTACTGATTACATGAATAGCACTATTAATCTAGACACCATCCATTTGGCAGAGCCTACATATGTTAAACCAAAAGGAAGGCCAAAGGATAAACCGACGAAGAGAGATAAATCCGGTTGGGAGTACCCAACATTCCCGCGGAAGTCGTCTACTGATGAAGAAAAGGGTAAATCGTCTGCAGGTTCTAAGGTTCGAAAAAGTACTTCTACCGGAACCCCATGATCGAAAGTAACCGATCCCGGTTCTGGTCGTGGACGGCGGCGGGGTCGAGGGAGTGGTAGATCAAGTGATGAATCCACTGCCAATCAGAATCGTATGCCGATGCCTCGAAAGGAACCGGGCGATGAGCTCAATTTCAGATCTTACATCCTAGGTTTTGTGGCAGGATCTATTGTGTCGTATGTTAATGTTATAGCAGATGGAAATTGTGGTACAGATGTGTTGCATAAGCAGTGTTCCGAGATCAGCACAGATGGAGTCGTGTGAGGAGAGATTTAATTGTTGATATGTACGAGCGAATTGGTACGTACGCATCGCAAAATGGTCAAGATGAAGTCATCCGATGGATTACAAGATGCGATTGGCAAGAAGGACCGTGTACTCGGGACAAATGGATGTCATTTCCGGATATGGGAATGTCGATAGCGACTAAATACAATGCGGCTTTGGTCTTATACGCCGTTGGCGGAAGTATGACCTACTTACCTCTAGTAGGTCCGGGTGAATTGTCTCATATGATCCATATGGTGTTGTTATGAAACCATTTTGTCCTTATCCAGTTACCGGTTAATTGTCCTCTACCACCTATCACTCCACAGTGGCGACCTGTTAGAGCCGCAAATCTTGCCCACTTGTCGAAAATGTTCGAAGAACGCCTATATATGTGGCGTCGTTTATCTAGGTTGTGATAGGCATTTTATTTTATTTGGTATGTATTTGAACCTTGTATTATTTTATTTTATTTGGTATGTATTTGAACCTTGTATTATTTTATTTTAGTTGGTATGTATCTGAACTTTGTATTATTTTATTTTAGTTGGTATGTATTTGAACCTTGTATTATTTTATTTTAGTGGGTATGTATTTGAACCTTGTATTATTTTATTCTGAAAACTTAAATAAATAACATAATTAAAAATCAAACTAAAACATAAATAATAGTAGAAAAAAAATAACAGATTTAAAATCAAACAAAAACATAAATAATAGTCAAACAAAAAATATCTCATTCACGTGGGCCCTACTAGCCATGCCCAACTGCCGGTATAAATGAGCCAAGACAGCTGCACCCCAAGCATACTCACCGACGTGCTCAAGATTAGAAGAATATCTCGTCCACGTTGGCTTGAACCTGTCTATACTCCGGTCGGGGAACAAAGCCATACCGATCAAAAACGTCAAATATCGTACCACCTTCTGCTGACAAGATCGGGACCGACTGCGCACACGCTGAACAAACTCCGACCATTTTATCCCACTATTGCCGAGCTTGGCATGCGCCTCGACCAGGTCCAAATCAAGAACCTCAGCTAGCAACAACTCACACATAGGCCTCTCCTCAACAGAATCACCGTACACTGCTAGACCGTCGACACGCAACCCCAAAATAAATGCGACATCATGTAGGGTGATCGTCATCTCACCCCACGGCATGTGGAAACTGTTCGTTTCCGGCTGCCACCTCTCTATAAATGCCCCCATGAGTCCATTGTCTACATTTTTCATGTAGAAGTGCTCGAGTGAGTCTAGGCCAAATGCCTCCAGTAGCTCTAACTCATCCTGCCTGTAAGGAGCCATGAGTTGCTTCAGCTCATCTTTCTTAAAATCATTAAGCGCGGTAATCCTGGACTCACATCGCCCGACGCTGCACTCCTGTAGAATTTCTAATTTAATTAGAAAAAGTATATTAAAATAAATATATTAAACTATATAAAAAAAATATATTTAAACTTACATGTCCTGCCCAAATATAGTAGGCAATATGACTCTTGAAACTAGGAATCATTCTCCAATCAGGCGGTCCTCCTGGAGCCGGACCATGTAACACAAGTGGGCCACTTAAAGTATCGAACTCGTACCGAGACTTGCGTGCGCGCGCAGCCAGGACGGGAACATCATCAAAATCGCTCCCCATATGGTCCTGCTCCTCCTCGTGTTCCTCGTAGGGGATACGGGAATCTGCCCATAAAGATTGAATGCTACCTGCCATATATCTAGAACTACGGTCTACGTGGGGATCTCGTCCACGATGGGTAAATCAGTGCCGCGCTCAATAACTCTCCTACGACGGTGAGATGCAGTCATACGA